GTACACCTCTCATAAATTCATCACTATAATCACCACTACTTTCACTTAATTTGTCATCAACTTTATCACATGTCTTCCCCTTTCCTTTCTCTTTAACCCTGTCCATAAAGGTGGCCTCTCCTGTAACTGGTTTTGTCTCACAGATTATCTCAACTTCACAATTATTTTCATCAGCATACATAGCTAACTCAGAAGCATCTCCCTCATTCCAAAATGGTTTTAAATCTTCTTTAAAAGATCCTTCATCATGTTTCCACCATATTTTAATATAATTCAAATTAAACTCAAGGTCAATCACTTTAACTAAGTCTCAGGCTTCAAAAAAGACCAATAATTAGGATCTTGGCCAATAAAAGCATATACTTCTCTACCATCATATCTTATGTTATGGTCTTTTACAAAACAACCCTTTGAGTAGAGCACAACCTTAAATTTATCAATTTCCTATTCAAAAATATAACTTCGGTTTAAAATTTACCAAATTAGGTCAAACAAATACAATATGCAGTAGAAATACTAATATGGGTACAATTACGAAATCGATATTAATATCAGAAGAATGATTATTTATCTAACCCTACCATTACTAAATATGCAACATAAATGATTACTTGGGACCATTAAATGCGACTAAGTATGACCACTCTTAATTGCAAGTGAAATAAAGAAACAAAGCAACGACAAAGTTGTTGTCGGGACCACTGCAACAAAGATTTGTTCTTGAACCACACAAAAGGTTTCTTCAAGCAGCTGAAGAGTCGTTGTTCTAGGGCACTCGCTCGAGCTGGAATTGAAAGAGCTGTTTAACATTATCAAGTTGGTAGAGTTATATGATAACATTATCAACACTTTCACGTTGGTGAATTAAAAATACAAATCTCCTCGTCAACAACATAAAGATGTCAACGTCAAGAACCAATTTTAGAGACGAAAAAGATTGTGAGAATTATTGTTTGAAGAAAATTTTTAGAAAAATTTAAATTAAATATTGATATATTTATAAAGATTAAGAACATATTTAAAATTTAAAAATATAACTAAGTATTTACCTTGTGTTTAATATCAGTTGCAACATCTTTATGATCATTTTCAAGTTAAATTTATTTTATACAAAAATAAAACTATATAAACTATATAAGTTATTAAAATTTATAAGTCAAAGTTAATTTTATGAATTTCCATGGTGGTGGTCACAAAGTTGAAGAATTGTCCTTTTACTTTTTGCTAATGAGATATAGGACATGATGAAATATTGGCAAGTAGTTAATTGCGTTTCAGTCCCCAATTTAGGTTAATTTTTAGTTCTAGTCCCTGTTAGAATAAAGAGAGACTGTAATCGATAGTGGCGGTGATAGCTGTGTAAGAAAAGGAAAAGAAATGGAAGAGGACGGTGAGATATACGACGGTGCAAGAGCTGAATTCCCTCTTTCCTTTGGAAAACAATCCAAATCGCAAACTCCTCTCGAAACCATTCACAACGCCACTCGTCGTTCGGTTCCCAATTCCAAAACCGCCAACGATTTCCCTTCCATCTCTTCCTCTTCCAAACAATGGCTTCAATCCGTTCGTTCTTCCAAAAACCCTACCCCTCTTCCTCCTCCACCACCATCTCCTCCTCTTCACGACGACTCTCCCCTCGTCGGTCCACCTCCACCGCCACCACATAATGATGATGAGGATGAGGAGGATGAAGATGACATGATTGGTCCGCCCCTGCCGCCACCTGGTTCCAATCTGGACGATTCCGACTCCGAAGAGGTTTCGGATCAAGGCCAACTCGGCAACCGGTTTCGTATTCCGCTTAGCAACGAGATTGTACTCAAAGGCCATACAAAGGTATCATCTTCCTTTATAATTAAGTGCTTATAGCATAATTGCTTATTTTGTAGGTGCTTAATTAAGTGTTTATGCCAACAAAAAGCTCATAAATCAATCCAAACAAACTCTATTTATACCAGTGAGCTATGGTTGTTTGTAGTTATTGGTTGTTTAAAAATCTAAGGGGAACTATTAACAGGTCGTGTCTGCTCTTGCTGTGGATCACACTGGTTCTAGAGTACTATCTGGAAGCTATGACTACATGGTTCGTATGTATGACTTTCAAGGAATGAGTTCCCGTTTGCAATCGTTTCGGCAACTCGAGCCGTCTGAAGGGCATCAAATTCGCAATTTAAGCTGGAGTCCAACTGCAGATCGTTTTCTGTGTGTTACCGGTTCGGCTCAAGCTAAGGTAGCTAAGAACCTAACATCATTTTCAGTTTCCTTCTTTCATGTTTTAGTATTTTATGCTTTGCTTGACTTTCTTTTCCTCGATTGCAGATTTATGATCGTGATGGCCTCACCTTGGGTGAGTTTATAAAGGGAGACATGTATATTCGTGATCTAAAGAATACCAAGGGTCATATAACTGGGTTGACATGTGGAGAGTGGCACCCAAAAACTAAGGAGACTATTTTAACATCATCCGAGGATGGGTCTCTCCGTATATGGGATGTGAACGACTTCACAAGTCAGAAACAGGTTTGGAAATTTCACCTTACTCTTCTTTCCAAAGCATATTTTTCTTGTAGTAGTTCTGTGCATAGTGATTTTTATTTTGTTTTCTGTGTGATTTTTACTGTATATATTACTATTGCTGCCACTCTGCTTAAAGTTTTAAAGAAGTAATTGGCATTATCTTTATAACAATACCCCTCTTCTACCCATGACTATTACTGTATGGATAATAAAATCTTATTGTTTTGTTTATGGTTAAGAGTATGTGTGTTTTTTGCTTTGTACATATTTTGAAAAGAAACTGGTGATTAATTCATCTGATAGTAACTACAACCACAACTAACTGATATATCCTAATTGACCAAGTGTTCGTTTTCCATCAAATGACACTGAAAGAAGAATATGCATATGTGCATTTTGACTATACATATATAGAGGTTTTTGTGTCTCTGGGCAGAGATATGATAATTTATTCTATAACTTACAAATTTATATTTTCCACTTCTATGATGTTATTGAAATCATGCTCTGCTATTGTTCAATGGTAGGTCATTAAACCAAAGCTTGCGAGACCTGGAAGAGTTCCTGTCACCACATGCGCATGGGATCATGATGGTAAATGCATTGGTGGTGGTATAGGAGACGGTTCTATACAGGTAAAAATCACTGACATTGGGTAGTAAGGTCACTGTCTATGCTGCTTTTAAGTTATACTTAGCTTTAACTTTCTTGTAACTTATTATGCTGCTTGGGATGTTCAATTCATTTTCACAGATTTGGAGTATTAAACCTGGCTGGGGGAGTAGGCCTGATATACATATTGAAAAATGTCACGAGGATGATATTACTAGTCTGAAATTTTCTACTGATGGGAGAATCTTATTGTCGAGAAGCTTTGATGATTCATTGAAGGTAAATAGATGACCGCATACTTGAAATCATAGCTTATAGCTTGCTGTTTTCTTTCTTTATTACGCCTGCATAAACAATTTTCTAATCTTCCTGACACATCCTAATTGACCAATGAATTATGCTGTAGGTTTGGGATCTGCGCAAAACAAAAGAAGCATTGAAGGTATTTAAAGAACTACCAAATCACTATGGACAAACAAATGTTGGCTTCAGTCCTGATGAGCAACTATTTTTTACTGGGACATCTTTAGAAAGGGATAGCTCAACAGGAGGTTTATTATGCTTCTTTGATAGATTAAATCTTGAACTTGTTTCAAAAGTTGGCATATCCCCCACTTGCAGTGTTGTTCAGTGTTCTTGGCACCCTAAACTGAATCAGGTAACAAATTATTGGTCATGTTAGTCAATATTTTTCTGGTGTCATTTTGCATTTTCTGAAACAATATTTATTGCCTGTGCTTATAAATACTTCTTGAACTTACTTTTATTCTTAAAGATCTTCGCAACTGTTGGCGATAAAAGCCAAGGAGGGACACACATACTATATGATCCAACCATCAGTGAGAGAGGAGCTCTTGTTTGTGTTGCTCGTGCACCAAGGAAAAAATCTATTGATGACTTTGAGGCAAATCCTGTCATTCACAATCCTCATGCTTTACCTCTATTTAGAGATCAGCCAAGCCGCAAGCGTCAGCGAGAGAAGGTATTAAAGGATCCATTGAAGTCACATAAGCCTGAACTACCCATGACAGGACCTGGCTTTGGTGGACGAGTTGGTACAAGTCAAGGAAGCTTACTGACCCAGTATCTACTAAAGGTTTGTGGGTATTTCTTATCATATTTTCTTGACTTCACAGTCTTCATGCTTTAGAATATGACAGTTGACAGTTATATTTTTATGTAACTGCAGAAAGGGGGTTTGATTAAAGAGACATGGATGGATGAAGATCCAAGGGAAGCTATCCTAAAATATGCTGATGTTGCAGCAAAGGAGCCAAAGTTCATAGCTCCAGCCTATGCCGAAACTCAGCCTGAGCCATTGTTTGCGAAGTCAGATTCTGAGGATGAAGAGAAATGAGTTATGCAATTACAATTTCTGGTACTATAGATGGTCAATGCAGAAGGAACAGCCCCAGACAAGAGTAACTCAGAACTCAGTAGTGGTTTACTTGTTCCAAATCCAACATGCAAAGTCGAGCATTCCCGGCACCAGGACAAAGCTTAGTTAACGCAGCCGGGAAAGATGTTGAATGTAGCAGCTCTACAATGGATTTTCTTGGAGCAGTATTATTATCTGTACATTCTGTCATATGTAAAATTGAATTTTGAAAACTATTCTAACCCTATAATCTTAGTTTTGAAAACTATTCTAATGAAAATGCTGAGACTATCGTAGAAGAGATAGATCTATATGCATGGATTTTAGTAAGAAAGTTGTTAGCACAGACAGCTTATGGGTAGCTTCAATTATTACAATACTGAATTAACAATTGAGAATCACAGATTATTCACATTCATTTTAAAAAGAAACTATCTAAACTAAAAGCAACGTATTTCCTAATTTCCTACAACATCATCCACAAGAAGGCATGCTACTTTCTAGCTTTTACAACGTCAAGAATTGACTTAAGCACGTCAAGGGTCAATGGTTTCACTTGAAAGTCGTTTAGCCCTGCCTCAATAAACTCTTGTTTTTCTGCTTCTCTGTAGCATGATGACGCACCGACAATCATGCTTTCAATACCCATTGATCGCAGTTTCTTGGTTGCCTGCATAAAAAACATGCAACAAAAAGAACATGCAGCATACATTTTAAACCAAAAAAATGTATATCTATAATGTAAATCTTCTTTTCATAGCATACAAAGCACAATTCTTAGACAAAACTGAATCAAGATAATAATGCTTTGAAAGAGTTAATTCTCAACGTATGTACCTCAATCCCATTCATGATAGGCATATCCCTATCCATAAGAATAATGTCAAAACTTTGACCACTACAATGAATATCTATAGCTTCTTTACCATTCTTTACCGCTTCATTTTTCACACCAGCTCTTTTCAGTAGACCTTGATGAATCATTCTAACAAGCTTATCATCATCTACAATAAGCGCTCTTAATTCGGTAGCAGAGTTTTGAGGATCCATTGGCCCTTTCTCTTGATCTTTCATATTGCACAAACCTCCTTAATTACCACTTCTGCAACACAACAAAATTTCAAACGAAAAAAATGATGAGTTAATTCATAAGTGTCTATCATCAATATAGTAAACTTCAGTTCAGAATATCAATTTAGCAGCAACACTGATTATTACCTAAAAGAGATTGATAATTTCTTTTCTTGATCTTCTCCAAGGAAATGTGGACGAACGAATTAATAAAAGGGTTGTAGAAATCTGTAAAAAAAGAATGTAAATTTCATTATAAAAACATGTTCGCAAAATATGTAAGAATATTTCAAGATAATATTGCAGTTGCACTTGCCTTTTCAGTTACTCTTCTTTCTTTCCCAGTGATGAATATGCTATGAACACTTGAAGATAAAAATTATGAATGAATAATTAAGCTAGCTAGTGTGGTATGCTATATATAGTACATGTGCTTGCCATGTGGTTACGTAAATTGTAAGGACATTGAAAGAAAAAGAGAAAGAAGGAAGTTAAACTAACTAGAAAGTGTTCTTGGGTTTTGTGCAACCAACTAACTGCCAAACTAATTAACTAACTCATGTTTTTTTTGTTAGTCGGTTACTCTAATTTTTCTCTTTTCCTGGCTTTTTTGTCACTTTCTGTATTTGAAAACATAAATGCATTTTGTTTGTTATCTTAAAGAAAGTCTTTGATACAATTAAAATTAGTCTAAATCGGAAGTCTTGTAAGTTTCGTAATGAAATTTCAATACTCATTCTCAAAACTGAAATAAGAAGCTTGAGAAAACAAAAATATTGTTTATTTTATGAAAATAATACTTCTCAAAAATTAAAATGTTATTTCTACATGTGTATATATACCGGTATGCTAAACAAATGCAAACTGCAAAAAAGACGAGGAAATTGAAAATTTTAATATAATTGTTTGTGTCATGTTAAGTAATAATGATGATGATTTCTGTAGATATGAAAGAGATAGTTTGGCATGTTATTTTTTTAATCATAAACAGACTTTATTGATTGATTCAAAGCGATTATAAGGTTTGTTGCAATAAGAAACTATAAGTTTGGTGAATTATGGTGGAGAAACTTTGAAGGTAGAGAGTGAAAGAGGAAAATTAAGAGAGAGAAAGATAATTGAGGGTGAGAAGTTATGATTGCATTAGTGTAGGAAGAGAATGCATCTTATACATTTATATAAGAGTTACAATGTGATTGAGAAACAAAATAACCAAGTAAAATAACATAAAAGTATAACGTTCGGGCTTGTAACCGGTTACACCATTTAGTTAACCAGTTACACATGACATGAAAAATAAAATCTTTTTAGTGGTAACCGGTTAACACAATAGGTTAATTGGTTGCAACAACGAAAACACCACTTTTCTGCTACTTGGATGAACTCCTGACCTTACTATAATTGGTTACCACCCCGTGTTAAGCGGTTACAACACTTGAATTACTTGAACCACTTTCAACACACCACCTTAATTCAAGTGTTGCGAGTCTTCCATGCCCATATTCATCTTCAACCTCTTGAATATTTCATTTCTGACTCCCTTAGTCAACAAATCAACAATTTGGCTCTCACTTCTATAATATCTCAATCGTAACCTTCCTTCACTAACAAGTTCTCTAAAGCAATGAAACCTCATCTCAATATGCTTGCTCCTCCCATGTCCAATTGAATTCTTAGCAAGATTAATCACGAAAACGTTGCCAACTAGGAGTGTGATAGTCTCACCCTCACGGTTGCCTAGCTCCTTTAATAGATTCATAAGCCACACGACTTGCCACACACATAACGAAGCGGAAATGTACTCGGCCTCACAAGATGAGAGTGAAACTACTGGTTCCTTCTTCAAACACCATGAGATTGGTGTTGCACCAAACATAAGGATGTATTTAGGTATAAACTTTCGACCATCTTTATCTCCGCACCAATTAGAATCGGTAAAATCGAACAAATTGCATTCTCTACCTGAGTCTACTGCGAAAAAGAGAATTCCGCAGCCAACAGAAATTTTGACGTATCGTACGAGATCCTCTTGACTGCTGTCAAATGAGATACCTTCGATCTCCCCATGAATTTACTCACAATGTTGATGCTAAATGGCAAGTCCAGTCGTGTATTGCACAAGGAACGCAAAGATCCAATCAACCTCCTATATTGAGTTGGATTAACATCTTGCTCATCCTTATTCTTAGACAACTGCAGCCTTGGTTCAGCTAGAGAAATGGTAAAATTGCAATGCTCCATTTCAAACTTCTTCAATATCTCAAGAGCATATCTTCTTTGGTGCATTAGCGGTCCTCTTTTGGAATACACTTTCATAAGAAAATATGTCATGAGATCAAGGTCGATCATCTCAAACTCTTTCATAAGTTCACTCTTGAACTTTGAAATACACTTTTCGTTGCTGCCCATGATCAATAAGTTGCCTACATATAAACAAAGGATAATTACACCTTCACTTGTATCCGTTTTCACATAAAATTCATGCTTGGACACATTTCTTGAAGCCAACATCCTTTAGAAAACCATTAATTCTTTTATTCCAATCTCTTAGAGTTTGCTTCAAACCATATAACACTTTCTTCAACTTGTAGAACTTCGGCTCTTGGTATTTCACAACAAAACCAGGGGGTGTTCTACATATACCTCCTCTTCAAGCGGTCCGTTCAAAAACGCGAATCTGACATCCATTTGGTAGATAGGCTAACTATGGTTATTTGAAATACCAATAACAAACCTAATGGTTCAAATCCTAGCAACCAGTGTGAATACCTCTTCAAAGCTTATGCCTTTTCTTTGCAAAAATCCCATATCCACCAATCAAGCCCTATGCTTAATTATCTCACCCTTAGGATTTATTTTCACTTTGAACACCCACTCCACACCAATTGGCTTCTATCCTTTTGGTAGATCAACCAGCTCCCAAGTACTTTTCTTCTCGATGGATTCCAGCTCCTTCTTCATAGCACACATCCAATTTGGATCACTTAAGGCCTCTTCCATATTAACGGGTTTGGATTCGACCATAAGTGCAAAATGAACGAAATCATCATCATTATTGATTTTGTATTCACAGAACAACTCACAATCTTAGAGTTTCTAAGATAAACCCCTTTGCCTTGTTGACCTTTGAACATTATCCTCATTTTGGGCTTCGACGACAAGTTGTTATGTACTTCCCCTTTCTTTAGAATTAGACATTTCGAAGTTGTAACTAGTTACAACTTTCTGGTAACCAGTTAACGCATGCGTGTAACCGGTTAACGCATGCGTGTAACCGGTTAATGTATGTTGGTAACCAGTTACAACTTATTGAACTTGCTTCAATTCATCGATTATGACATCCCTACTGATCACAATCCTCCTGTTTACCAACATCAAATAGTTTGTTACCACCTATAGAGTGATATTCAACAAGTATCATCACTCATCATATTATAGAAGTGAAGGAAGGTTACGATTGGGATATTCAACAGCTCAAGGTCACTCATCATACCCGAGTTCAAATACCACACCTTGCTGCATTGAACTCCTTTCGTACTCATCATGTCGTCTTTCTCTTCATGCAACCGGTTAATCATATCATTCAACCGGTCACAACTCAATTTTCTAGAATTCCTTGAGTTGCTGCTGCTTTTGTCTCGTAGCCTATTGCCAATGCATTCTCCTTCCGTGATCATGACCAAGAGTGTATTCTCTTCATCAAACTCTTGTCTTTTAACCTTGACTTCATCCTTTTGAAATTCCTTCTTGTTCACATTGCACTCTTTTGCAAAATGATCAAACCTTTGACATTTATAGCATTGCTTCTTGCTCTTGCCAAACCTCATCTTGTCACCTCTAAAGTTGCCTTGACCACCAAATTTGTTGTCTCTGTTCTCACTCCATTGCCAAGTCGAATTCTTGGACTTTTGTGACTCTCTTCCACCAAAATTTTGAAAATTTCCTTTGCTTTTCATGGGCCACTTTCCTTTCAATCTCTTGCCCTTCTCGTTTAAGCGAGCTTGCAAAGTGATCTCCGCCTTTGCCTTATCATTATTTCTCTCCCCTGTCCTTTGCTCATGAGCCTCAAGAGAACTTTGCAGCTCTTTTTTTCTCATCGCCGCAACATACTTTGATTCCTTAATTGCCACAACTACATTGTCAAACCTTGGTGTTAAAGAATGCAAGATTTTTGCGACAACACACTGCCATGTAACAACTTCTCAACATGCCTTCACTGGATTCACCAATCGAGTGATTCTTGTTATGAAATCGTTAATTGTATCATTTTCCTCCATTTGAATCAATGTGAGCTGACGCTTGTGAGTTTGTAACCTCCTCACCTTTTCCTTGTAAGCCCCTTGCATAAGCCTTCTCTAATATCTCCCATCCTTGCTTTAATGATTCACAATCACCAACTTTCTCAAAATTGTCACCATTAACATATTGATGGATCAAAAACAACATCCTGAAATCTTTATTCTTCTCTTCCTTATGTGTTGCTTGTTGTGCTTCTGTTGCATCTTGGACAAGAGGAGTAACATCATTCTTGATCACTTCAAGAACATCTTGGTAGCCAAACAATACCTTCATTTTCTTGCATCATTTGTCATAATTCTTTGCATCAAGAATGGGTAGGTTTGCAATTGGAGACAAAATTTATGTTGCACACTAGGTGTTTGTGGATCAGAACCATGCTTTTGATGCTAAATGTTGGAACAAGAAACCACAAGTTTGGTGAACAATGATGGATAAACTTTGAATGTGGAGAGTGAAAGAGGATAATTGAGAGAGAGAGAGAGAGAGAGAGGATAAGTGAGGGTGAAAAGTTATGATTGCATTAGCCTATGATGAGAATGCATCATATACATTAATTCAAGAGTTACAATGTTATTGGGAAACAAAATAACCAAGTAAAAATAACAGAAAAGTACAACATTCGGGCTTGTAAAAGGTTACACCATTTGGTTAACCAATTACACCTGACATGAAAAGCAAAATCTATTTAGTGGTAACCGGTTAAC